AACTCCGTGCGCGGCGCGGCCAGGCAAGCACTTCGTGCAATGTTACGCGTTAAGGTACCCCCGTGCGTTGTTGGCAGTGCTCGGTTTCGAAGCTCATCGTCGTCATTATCGCCGTGGTTCTCGTCTTCGGTGTTCGACGTGTGACACGGTCGTCGACGTCGTGCCGCGAAAAGAGTCCGGTCGGTCGTGTCGGTTCGGTGGGTGCGCGCACGCGAACAGAAAGATAAATAGATCGACGAATAGAGGAATAAACGGGAGACAGACAGAGGGAGGTCAACACGCGTTATGGCTCATGGTGTGAGCGAGGTGCTCGGTGAGGGGAACTCGGTGAAAATGGTGCAAAAGCAGCAACAGCAGCAGCAATCGGCGACACATCAGCCGCAGACGCAGACTGCGAGGAAATCAGTTGGAGTGATGGGCAGCAGACGCATATTCGCGCCGTCGTTTAAGCTCAGGGTTCTCGATTCGTACCGAAACGACATCGATTGCCGCGGCAATCAGCGTGCCACCGCGAGAAAGTACGGGATCCATCGGCGACAGATTCAAAAGTGGTTACAGTGCGAGGATAATCTTCGTAACAGTTGCGCGGAGGGCAACGGCAATGCGAACGGTGTGGTCTCGACGACGGTGATCCCTTCCGCGGGTGTTTCCAAACCGGACGGTACCGTGACGGAAGCCACGGGGCCTGCCGTGACTCCAGCAGCGCCGGCCTTGAACCTCAGCCTCGCCAGACTGCACGGCGACGAGCTGGCTACACAGCAAGGGCCCCCACCTCTTCTTCCTCATCCTCCTCATGGTGGTTCACCCTCGTCGCCCCAATACGTGGCTCAATCCACCACGGCCCCGGCGATGCCCGTCCGCGTCGGTTATCCGGAGTACAATATCAATCAGGAGCAGCAACATCATCATGTTCGCCGGGAGCCGGACGATCGCGTGCAGGTGACCGAATCGGTTCACGGTTACACCGAGAAGGAGCAGTCCAGGTACTATGTAGTTAACAACTCCGACGGACACAGGGAGATCGAGAACTCGTCGACGTTCGACGGCCGCGAGGTGAAGGTGTACCAAAATCTGACCAGTTACCGGGGACACGAGCATCGTTACGAGGCGAACGACATGATCAGCAATCAGATTCATCATCGTTCGCCGAGCCGTAATCGGTCCCAGAGCTACGGGGACGTGGATTCCTCGGTGGACGGGAAACCGTCGTACGGTTTGCTACTAGCGCCGTCGATGATAAAGACGGAACGAGCGAGCCCAGACTCGGCGGCGACGCCAGGGCCGTGCGAGTCGACGTGTTCGCCCGGTGCCCTGAGGGGCCCGGTCTCGCCTGTCTCGCATCCAGCCAGCAGCAGCTCTAGCAGTAGCAGCGGTTCCACGACGTCCGTTCACTTCGATTCCCCGCGGGCATCCGCGAGCCCGTGCCTGCACGTGCACGTTCACGCACACGCGTCACCGTCCCCGGATTCCGAGAAGCCCGGGGAACCGAGCGATATCGAAAAGAAAGGATCGGAGGACGCCGCGGATACGGAAATCGGTAGAGCCGTGATCAAGGAGGAACTACAGATCGAGGAGGAGCAAGAGGCCAACGAGGATGGAAGAGAAGCTGTGCCCTCGTACGATTATCAACGACCACCTGTCGACTCGCGTCCGGTGAGCCCGGTTCACGATCGGGAAGGGTATTCCTTGCCGTCCAGCCCCAGGGGTCCGACCAGTTCTGGGAGATCCAGCACCAGTTGCTCGGACAGCGAAATGGATCCTCTGGACTGTTCGTCCGGCAGTCAGAACTCTTCGAACGATCTCGCGCGGCGCCGATCGTTCTCGCTCCGATTCAAGCTGGACGTATTGGACGCTTTTCACAGGGACGTCGGCGTGGCCGGCAACCAACGCGCCACCGCGAGAAAGTTCGGCATCAATCGCCGCCAGGTACAGAAATGGCTCGGGCAGGAGACCGAGCTCAGAGGCGAAATCGCGGTTCGCGGCAACTCGCGGCAGCGGCTAGGCCCAGTCCAGGATGTCGCCGCTTCCGGTGAGTCACCGGTGGATCTAAGGACGTCGAACTACGTGTCCAGCTTATCTCAGGATCGAATCGAAGCGGAGTACGAGCGCTCGCCCCCGCCGCTTTACTGCTGCGACGTGGGCTCCTCCTCCTCCTCCTCGTCCGCCTCTCAGCATCTTCCGTACTACCAGCATCCGATGGTCGTGGACACGTCGGACGTCGATCCAGTCGCGCCTTGCAATCTGTCCTGCTGCGTGGACAGTAGCCACGTGGCGACGCCGGTCACATCGTGCTACCAGGAAGTGTCCTTAAGGGGATCTTGCTACTCGGACCCGCAGAACAGGCAGTACTGTTATTCCCCTAGAGAGTACCCGTCCGAGATCACCGTGCCGGAGTCCACCGAGGAATTGACCACCTCCCCGCTGAAGAGACTCCATTGCACTTTGTCCTGCTGCTACGAGGCAGCCCAGTCGCCGAAGAGGCTCTGTCTGGAATCCGAAGAGTCCGTCATCAGGACGAGTCCTTGCCAGGAGGCGCCGCCCCAGGACACACCGCTGTGCCTGGTGAAGCCGAAGAGGTTCATGGACGCTTCACCGTCGAGAACGGAACCCGTTACCAGCACAGTGCCCACGCCGCCCGCGTCCGCCGCTCCTCCACCCCCGGGACCAACCAGCAAGAAGGACGGCATCCTATTCAAGCCGTACCTCGACAACCCCGTCAGCAAGCCCGCGAAGGAGCCGCAGGTTCAACGAGGACTGTCGCCGGTCAGCAGCCAGAGTATCGTCAATAACAACAACAACTGCCAAAGCATCTGCAACTTGAACGAAGCCAGGGGCCACGACTACGCCCTTGAGCTCAGTCTCAGACTGCCGATCACCTGGAGAACTCATCCAAGCCCGTACAACGAGTTCCCGCAGGTCAGGAGCGCGTTCGCTAGGTACCCGGCGAGCCCCCACTACACCTAATTCGAAGACTTTCCTCGATCCCCGATCAGGCGGAACGGTTTAGCGGCTTTAATATCTTAGACCCTCGCTGCGAGCTGAGGAAGATGCACGCGCGATCTCTTGGTATTTAATACTAGAACTATCGGATGGGTCGAAACTGACCCATTCCTGATTTCATTTTTTCCAGTTATTCTACAGATAACAGATGCTTCTCTGAAAAAGTACTGGAGAAACTAATTTAGCGATACACAAACTGAATTGCAAACCAACTGAAGTCTCAATCATTGCAATGTTGTGGTTTCTACAGAACAATTTCAAAAAGACAATTTAACTGCTAGATAGTTCTAGTGTTAATTTCCTATACGAAAAGCCACGCGAAAGTCAATCGTGTATTTCCAAAATTGTTAAAAGAGGCGTTAATGATTTTCGGAGCAACGTTTAGTTTCCGTTTCACGTTTAGAGTATACTCCGGTAGCTTTCTAGACCTTCGTTTGGGGAAAAGGACTTCAAAGGATCCGCCGGCGAAGGATTGATTGGTACGTGATCCGCGACACGTCGTCGTGCACCACGTAAGTGTTTATCGTTTCCACGGATCGTCGGTGCCGCGTTATACATCACGATAAAGACCCAATCGGCCATTGGACGATCCGAGGCGTGGTAGGAGATCGTACGTGGTTGCGTCCTCGTCTCTTCTCGCATCTTCTTTCAGCTTGAGCGGCCAACCCCTC